TGCACACATACCAAGAAGAAGTTGATCTGTAAGGGCGAAGTATGCATTTCTCTGGACAGCCTTCTTCACTATCGTCTCCTCCTCAATATTCATGTGTTTCATATATAGCAGGGACTGGAATACGTTTCTTGAGCCGTGTGTTACGTAAGGGTGTATCTTGATGTAAAACCACATTGGAGCACTGAACTTTATTATTGTAATGACAATTATTTTCAACTCATGGCTGGGTCTTGATGTTGCTACATACAGCCTGAGGATTCTACTCCATAAGGTGTTCCACCTTGACACACAGGGAGGACCTGGCTCAATAGCAGCCAAGTCATCTTCAACAACACCTGTGATAACTCCTTTACAAATCCTATACAGGTTTTTCTGATCCCAGGACAGATCTTTCTCCACTTCATCATTAAACACAGGGAAATCAGGGAAACTGACTGGCTGGAAGGCAACAACTGGAAGCTCAGACAAAGACTCCTTGATCTGCTTTCCAATGGGACCACGCCAATGCTCAGGACCACTTGGTTTACCATCAAAGTGATAAAAAACTGCGCGGAAAGGCAGCTCATTTCCGTGAAGCTGACATATGAAATAATGGAGCGGGTGACCAAGTAACATTTCAAGATGATAAATGACTCCATTTTCTGATCCTACATTTATATTGGTTCCATCACAACCAACACACACAATGGGCTGCTGGGTTAGATTTTTCTCCACCAGAAACTCGTGAATAGTTTTGGCAATCTGCTTTCCGTGTCCAGTCTTGGGAGTCACATGTGTGAGATATTCATTGCCAGGCTCAACCATGATGACATAATGATCTTTCAAATTATCTAAACTAGCCATCTCAATTTCTTGCCTCTTAAATCGGTATTTTTGTCTCGCATCCCGCAGCTTATGTGGTCCAATAACCTGACTCTTGTCATCCTTTGTGATAATGCCATAGTCAGTTAAGGTGGCAGTAGCAATGGCAGCTCCAGCACAATCACTAATCAAGTATCGGTCACAAGCGGCAGCCAGTGTAGGGAGTCTTGTCCGGTTCTGTGAACTGGTGTCTGTCAGAGGTAAATTTAAAAATTTCAGTAGAAAATGCAGCAGACTAAACCTCGACATATCAGCTTCAAATTTGGCATGGAGTCTTAGATATGTATAAGGAACAATGCCTGAAGAGTGCAGCTTTGAGCAAAATTTCACTGCCCCCTAATGTCCAGCCAATACAACCAAGTGGACGCAGATATTATACTCATAAACTCACACGGCCAAAAGGCGGCTGAGGAACTGAAAATATTTGGTTACATGATCCATAAATCCAATTTATCAGAGGAGCCAAATGACGGGGTGGCCATCGCCGTAAAAAGAGATGTCCACCACAGAATCATAGACGACTTCACCTCCGAAACTCTCGCTGTTCAAATCAACTTGACCACATAATAGCCACAACCTACCTCCCACCACGCAGGGACTACCTGTCATACGGGGACTTCCACAGATTCCTATCATATCACCACCCAACCTACATCATTGGAGACATGAATGCCAGACATCCTCTACTAGATGGTAAGAGGACAACTAACATTGTTGGAAGAAGCCTCGTTGGCTTCATAACAAACAAAAAAGCCCAACTAATAGACCCAGACTTCCCCACGTTCTACAGAAGGAACTCGGCCACTACTCCAGATATAGCAAAAACAAACGGCAGATGCTTCCACAACTATCTCTTTGAACAAGGCCCTGTAACCTCTAGCGACCACCTACCTATAATCATGACCATCTCAGCAACACCAATAACTATACCAGCTCCACCACGGAGAATCGCCAAGCAGACCGACTGGGCCTTATTCAACGAAAAAGCTACAGCCGAACTTGAGGTCAAGGGCATGACAATCCTGCAGACCATAGACAGTCAACCGGTGAACATAATAGACGAAGAAATCAACACATGGTGTGAAGCCATAGGAACAGCCTACCAGGAGGCCACGCCTCTCAAACGCAACAGAACTCTCCCACACCCACAACAGACTCCAGAACTCATAGCCCTCACAAACCAGTTCCAACTGCTACAACAGAGAGCCGAGACCCATGGTTGGGACATCGTAAACTACAATGCATACAGAAGAATCCGGGAGGAAATAAAAACAAGATCTCTGGAACAAAGCAACCTTAAATGGGCCGAAATAGTTGAACAACTCTCACATACGTACAACGATCCAGGAGAGTTCTGGCGTCGAGTTAAGACATTGAAAGGTTGCAGCCATAACGAGTCATCATACATAACTGACCACGCAGGAAGTAAAATATATGACGACCAAGACAGAGAACCCATATTCAGGGACATATGGAGGAACATCTTCCGAATCACAAATGAAGAGAATAGGGGATTCGATGGTACCCACGAGGAGCTCCTCCTTGATGAACTCCGGGGCCAGACACACCGCACTCAGCCTTCCCCTGAAATCATATGGGAGGATCTGAGAGCGGACAGCCCATTGTCCAAACCAATCACCTCGGAAGAACTCAACAGAGCCATCTCCAATACCAAAAATAAAGCCCCTGGTTATTCAGGCATCACCAAGGAGATCCTCAGCCACATAAACAACCCGGCCATGGAGAGACTGAGAACCACAATGAACGCTTGCCTGGCCTCGGGCTACTTCCCAACTAAATTCAAAGAAGCCATAATTACCCTAACACCAAAACAAGGAAAGATCCCCGCCGTCCCACTAAACTACAGACCGATCTCCCTCCTCGAAGTACCTGAAAAAAATCCTAGAACAAATCATCAATAACCGTCTGAGAAATCACCTGGAAACAACAAACAGATTCAACTGCAGACAATTCGGGTTCAGGAAAGGGAAGTCCACCACAACAGCGATAGCCCTGGCATGCGAAAACATAGCCAGAGCCAAGTGGTAGACAATATAATCTAACTCTCCGGGATGTAGCGAAGGCATTTGACAAAGTCTGGCACGACGGTCTAAAATATAAGATCCTCCAACTCGGACTTCCCACCAACATTGAAAAGTTGCTTTGCAACTTTCTTGACGGCAGAAATGCTAGACTGAGGGTAGGACAATACACAGGAGAGACCTTCCCACTCATGAGTGGAGTCCCTCAGGGAAGCATCCTCTCCCCCACCCTATATATTATCTACACAAGTGACACCCCGGCTCCCACTAGAATAGGTAACGAAGATATTATGTATGCAGACGACATCACTCAAATAACAACACATCAAGGAAAATCGCGAACGTTACACGCCGAAAACACCAGGCGGGAATTAGAAAGGGTAAATAACTACGAAAAACAATGGAAAATCCAAACCAGTCTCCCGAAATTCACAGTGATACCCTTATGCAAAAGGAAAACCCATCCATTAGTAACCAATAATACCCAGATAGAATACAAAAGCAGAGGCACCCTCCTGGGCCTACATATATCCACGACAGGTTACTCCCATCATGTCCACAGTAGGAAGGAAAAAGCAAGAAGAGAGCTGAGAAAACTATACAGCTTTAAAGCGCTTCCTGAGAAAATAAAACTCCGCCTGGTGACATCATTTATCACACCGATATTAACTTACCCAGCAATACCTCTTCATACTATGAGCACCACTCAAATATTAAAATTACAGGTGGTCCAAAATGAAGCCCTAAGAATCGTCACAGGTGAAAGATACCCCTTCACCAGAACCACAGCCGAGATACATAAGAGACCTGAGAATGAAACCCATCAACCAGCAGCTGCACACCCTGGCCAGCAGAATCTGGCAAAAGATAGAACGATCAGAGCAAGAACTCCTTCAAAGACTCCCACCAGGTCACGACAACAACCATACATGGTTCCCAAAAATCTACGAAATCTCAAAAGGTCCATTACCACCCCCGATCTACATGGCCAGGCAATAGACAGCCTCCCAAGACCAACATCCGCCAGTCGGGTTGGCGGAATATGAAATAAGGCCCTTAAAACACCCATAAATGGGACAGGGTAGGCTGTCTAGTGCCTGTACCGGCAGACAATAACTAACCCATGACACAACCCAAACACACTATTAGCTTAGCTAGGCGGTCAGCTCGCCCTCTCTTACCTCCTCCTGAATTTCTTCAATTTCCGAACTATAACTTCCTTCCCCCACCTCTAATCTTTCTTCATTCTTTCTTTCCCTTAAAAAAAAAAAAAAAAAAAGTCAGCACCCACACACAGACACACCATTAATGTCATCACCCCCACACAGACGCATCATAAACGTCAGCACCCACACACAGTCACACCATTAATGTTATCACCCACACACACACACACACACCATTAACGCCAGCACCCACACACAGACACACCATTAATGTCATCACCCACACACAGACACATCATTAACGTCAGCACCCACACACCCACACACAGACACACCATTAACGTCATCACCCACACACAGACACACCATTAACGTCATCACCCACACACAGACACACCATTAATGTCATCACCCACTCACAGACATACCATTAACCCCATCACCCACACACCATTAATGTCAGCACCCACACACAGACACACCATTAATGTCATCACCCACGCACAGACGCACTATTATTGTCAGCACCCACACACAGACACACCATTAATGTCAGCACCCACAAACACACATACGATTAATGTCAGCACCCACACACAGACACACCATTAATGTCAGCACCCACACACAGACACACCATTAATGTCAGCACCCACACACACACGATTAATGTCAGCACCCAGACACAGACATACCATTAATATCTACACAGTAATACACTATTTATGTTTGCACACAAAAGCGACACTTGGACACATTATTAACGTCTGTATACTTACAGACATTATTAACTTTTTTTCACACACACACACACACACACGCGCGCGCCCTTTCAGATGCAGCATTTTGCAAATTTTCGCCCCTTAATTATCACTGATAATTATTTAGTTAAATCATACTGACATGTTCACATTTTTTATTTTCTTCACAGTGGGATCCGTGAGTATATGCTCCATGAAACGAAGTACTGATTCCATTTTTGAGGAGCCAACGGGCATAGCCTTCCCGAAAAACTCACCTATAAAACCGATTTTCGACAATCTGTAAGTTGCCTTTATAATCCACCTTGTTACGCAGTCTAAGATACACTGACACATCTTCCATCTTCACAGCTGATGTTTATACTGTATGTGCAGTTTCGTTCGACCTGATATTGTTTTCTCCAATTCAATGAAATTCACATTAATTATTAATTCTTTAAATTTATATGCTCATAAGTTTCAATTTCTACGCTCACAATTATCTTCATAAAAGTAAGTCCTTATAAACACCCGGAGCTCCTAAACTGATGGAGAAAGTCTCTGAACTGTTGGAATGAGTCTCCAAGTTGCTGGAACAAGACTGTGCAATAAGAATCCGAATGGTCAATATTGCACACAGATAGAGTAATATATTACTAGAAGAAACGTATGAACTACCAGTGGTAATGTTACTGTTATTCTCTGTCTATCTGTAAGTCTTCAGTCTATAATCAGGGCAACACCAGGGATATCGTGCCAAGGACAAGTCACTTCTAGTAATTGATGTAGTTGTATAAATCAGGCAAGTAATTCTTCTTGAATTAAAAGAGTATTATTTCAGAATACTTAACAGTGGTTGTTGTTGTAATATTATATATCTCGCTTCAACAAGATGATCTTTTAGCGTGCAGCAAGGTTGGTAATAACAAGTCGATCAACATTAAGAATTATGAAAGATAAAAACTGCGTTAAACACAGTATAGATATAATAATGAAATGCAAATCTCTAGTTCACACAATGTGCTCCTAGTAAATACGCCTAATTCTAAAAAAATACATCTTAAACAAAATAAACAAATATTTTCAGCAAATGTAATAAGATATGACAATGTTTCTATTTAATAAATCTGATGATTAACAATATTCATTATCAGCGTAATTATTTCACTAGAATTATTACATAGCACATTTAGAATAAGCAGGGATACTGTCTATACATCTGACACTTTATTGGCAAACTTCTGTATAAAATTCGACACCTGTGTTGAGTAATTTTCTTTGAAAGATTTTTCCCGAGTTTTCAAGCTGCTGCAGTGAGTCCTTAAGCTGCTGGAAAGAATCTCTTACCTGTTGAAATGATTTTTTGAACTGCTAGAACAAGTCTCTGAACTACTTTGAAAGAGTCTCCAAACAGTTTTAACTAATTTCCGAACTACTGGAACGAGTTTCTGAACTGATATATGAAATCTACTTACTACTTTTCTACCCATAAATAGCATTATAGTATCTCATTGGGGTTTGATGCAGTTTCGAACCACAGTGTAGAAGATTTTTTCTTTGTGGTTTTACACAAAATTTCCCTGAACTTTCACTAATAAAAGCATACATATCTCTCACCACACTATATACAATTGAAGAAAATTGCTTTTGTTTTTGTTTTTCTAGTTTCTAGGCAACTAAATTTATTTGCAAATTTCCCAGACACCTATTTTTCCCATTCCTCTATCTTATCACGTGGAAATAGGTCTCAGCGTGGAGTAGATACATAAAATATATGAATAAGTACTTGGGCTCAGACAAAGGAGTGTTAGTTACAAGACTAGCGAGGTTATCCTAAAACTATATCTTGCATATGTGAGACCTCACTTGGATTACGCAGTTCAGCTCTGGTCACCGTACTACAGAAAGGATATAGAATCCCTAGAATCCATTCAGAGGAGGATGACAAGATTAATCCCGGGTATTAGGAAACTTGAGTGCAGAGACAGATTTAAGCATCGTAATTTGCACTCCCCAAGTGAGACGTAGAGTGAGGGCGATATGATCGAGGTGTATAAATGGAAGTCAGGGTTAAAAAAGGTGATATAAGAAAGGTACTCAAACTATCCAACCAAAACCGAACTCGTAGCAACGGTTTTAAACGGGACAAATTTTGATTTAGGCGAGAGATAGGCAAACATTGGTTTGGAAATAATGTAGAGTAGTAGATGAGTAGAGCTGGTTACCGAACTTAATTATTACTCGAACACGCTGGGAAGCTTCAAATAAAAGATGGACAGTTATATGAGCGATAAGGGTTGGGTGTAAACGGGGCTGCCTAGTATAAGCCAATAGGCCAGCTGTAGTTTACTCCATTCTTAATGTTCGGTGGATTTGGCATCCTGTGTACCGCCGGCAAGGCCGTAGGATCGCAAAACTCGTCTTGCCTGCGGTGCCCACCGTTTCTGTGTGGATATCGGTCACACCAGAATAACCCGTTATAGTACATCCTTCATTCCCCACACAGCCAAACTGTGGAATGCTCTGCCTTTTTTTGTGTTTCCATATTCTTACAATCTGTCCCACTTCAAAAAGCTGGTTTTCCGGCAACGTCGTGGTGTAGAGTAGTATAGTCTTTTTCTCTTCTAATTTCTAATTTCTTTTTGCTCTCATTTTTTCGCCCCGCAGTCCCTGTTGTGGGTCGATGACCTGTGCTCGGGCGGGCTATTCCCTGTAAAAAATAAGAAAACAAATTTTACATTATTTTACATAATAGATTAGATCATTAATCGATACTCATGACATAGTGGTGGTCAGGGATGCTCTTTACAAGATTTCTGCCAACATTGATGAAATAATCGTTGAAGTGGTTGGTAATGAGGGGGGGGTGGTTCAGTTACAACTGTACCATTTATCATAAAAGCTGAGTGGCGAGCCGTACGTTGAGTGTTCCTGTTCTGAATAGATCGATGATACTCCAGGTTTTTTAATTGTTGCCCGATGCTGACTGTAGCTTATTTGTATAATAGTTACGTCTGGCATTATTTAAATTGTAATAATTTCATATTTAAATCTATATATTTTTAAAATTTCTAATGACCCTCTCTTTAACATAAAAACAGAAGGGCTTCTGTCCTTTTTGCACTTATACTGAGGGGCTTTTGTCCGTGCCTCCGGGAAACCAGAGACCGTAAAAACGACTCGGAAATCTCTGTGTTGATTTTAGAGATGATCGCAAGACATTGAAGGAAATGCTCAGAGGCATTGGGCGTAATATACGCTTATGATATGACTACAGTCCAGTATAACCTACACTTTATATGGTCCATACATCGTCTTAATAAGAGATATTGTTAAAGAGGATTTATAAGAAATTGATAAAAACTCCAAGTAGATTTTGTCTTATTTTTTTAACATGAGATAAATGTTGATGCTTATATAGTTTTTATTTATTCTTTATCATATAAATTACATTTCATAATGTTCGCTATTATAAACTTTAAATGGATTTTGTTTAATTTTTTACTATGAGGTGATTTTGTCCGTTGTGGGTTTTGTCCCGTAGGATGGGGTTTATATCCGGTGGGTTTTTTGTCCGCAGGGATTTTGTCCGGTGGGGATTTTGTCATAGACCCAAACAGGACTACCCAGTATGGGTCAATAGGCCCGCTACAGTTTCCTCCATTCCTATGTGCCAGACTTGTGGAAACAGGCAAATGTAGTACCCATATTCAAAAAGGGAGACAGAGCATCAGCGTCAAATTACCGGCCGATCAGTTTGACGTCAGTAGTGGGGAAATTTCTTGAATCAATTATAGCAGATAGCATCCGATAGCATCTAGAGAAAAGCAAATTAATCTACGACTCGCAACATGGGTTTACAAAGGGAAAATCTTGTCTAACAAATCTGCTGACTTTTTTAGGCAAGTCTTCGAGGTAGTAGATAATGTCGAAAATTAC